AGTAATCAGGTGCACGTGTAAAGTTTGTATTTGATAACTTTGTTCGTTTTTTCACATTTTAATGTACTTTTTTAAATAATTCCGAATTTACGAAACGAGACAAAGGAATTTGAGACTTTCGGTTCCATGCACCTAAATGTTACGCATTTTAGTTTTATGTCTGATCAGTTTCTAGAGTGCCTTTTTCGGGTGCAGTCTGTTCATAAGCAATTTTATAAGTCGGAATGTCTACGAATTTAAACGAAAACTTGCTTTACCTTAGAGTCGGGTAGTTTCGTGTACTAATAGTCGTCCTTTGCGCATTTGTGCATATTTTCTATTAGAGGGAAGTAACTTAAACCCAAGAGCTTTACCGGACAGGATTTGACGCATTTGAAGTTGATTTTTTTTCCACGTGAGTCAGAGAGAGTGGTGTGTCAGCAAGAAGTTAATATTTAGACGGTGAAACCTGCGATAAATTTTAAGAAGCAATATTTGCAAATTATTCGATTTAGTGCCTTAAACACAGTAACAGCATCGACGGGCATTCCCTTGTTTAAGTGTTCAGAAATTTTCCTGCTCTTTTTGAGTACTCAATAACTTGCTGCGGAAAGACCCTCCACCAAGTGGTTACGTTAGTTCTCAAGCATGTGAGATAACCTCCACGTATGACTTAGTTCCCAACAATGTTTAAGTTATAAACGGAATGAGCAGAAGATAAGCAGTCTAAACAGAATCTTAGCAGTAAATATGGTGGTCTTGTTTTTGCATTTATAACTGTTGAACGAAGACTTAAAATAAGCGAACATTGCAAAACTGACTTTGAAGTGGGTTCTACTGTTTGTAACAGACTAACTGTCACTATTTTCTGCGGACGAGGAGGAGCTAACCAAACCACAACTCTTAGCCTTGGCGTTACATTAATAAAAAGCGAAGCACGTAGAAATCGTCAGCAAACTACATTATTAAGACGTTTTTCAAAGAACCAACTTATTAAGGAAAGATCAGTGGTATATTTATTGTTGAATTTTGTTGTGCACATTCATTTTTCCTGGCGATAGAGATTCAAGTTTGCGTGACTCCATAACAATGGCCCAAACAGCCATTTACGTCAGAATAGATGCTTTCTAATAATGCCTTCTAATAATATCTTATTTTAAAAGTTAAGTAAACATATGGTACAGACATTACATTCCAAGGCATCGATTGAAGAGACTGAAAATCGTGAATTATTCACCGATGTTTCAAGAAAGATATGAAACTAACGTACTCCAATACAAGAAAAACTGCTAAAAACTTGATGGAGAGAAGATACTTATAATTTGAAAAATAATTTCAGGTTACCGACTTTATTTGCAACTCTACCCAGAGATATTTGTAACAGACTAGCCTGCTAACATGCAAACCTGTGATAAACATTATTCCATGGGCGTCTGATCGGTAAAATCAAGCAATATACCGCTTGCATTGGTCAATCGCATCGCAAGCAATGTGCAAACAGGAAACCTACGGTTAATCATCATAAACCCGCTTTTGAATCAACACACGGAACACAGGTTGTTAGTTAAAGTATACTGGAGATCAAAACAACTCAACAAAGACACCTAAGTGAAAAATTTACTAAAGAATTGTTTTTGGACGTCATGTATAATTTTTGTTTTATTTGTTTCATTTGTTTATTTGTTTGCAAAAACAAGCCTTCCGCGAATGAGAACTTATGTTTGCTCTATTACAGCGACTTTTGAAGTTTCCGGAATTTTCGCTTTTCAAGCAAATTTGTTATTTTTAGAGAACATGGCGTGACTTCTACTGTTTGTTTTGCGTTTTATTTAGAACTTATTACTTATAATTAATTCAGAATTTTAGTCCATCTGTTTATGTCGATTTCTGGGTAATTTGCAGTGTTCCGTAAATTTCGGCACATTTCATGACTCAGCAAATCTCCTGTACGTTTTCGATAATTTCCCAAATTTTGGTCCCTCAGCTTTAAAATAATAATTTATTGGTCTAACAGTGTCCTGCTATGCAAAAGCGTTATTTTTACGAGGCCTCGAAAAAATTGGGAGGCGGAGTGGGCGGCATGTGGGTTCTGAGATTTGTGGGCAAATTTTATGACGTTTTATTAACCAAGTCATCTTCAGAATAAATCCGTTAAACCGATCGCAGTGGACATTTTAGCCATTTAAAGGGTTTATTTTGATTAACGCCTCAATGACGGTGGATGGAATTATTCATAAAATGCGCTTTAAGTAAACAAATATTTCTAGCGCATCGTAAAGAGGCCAAAGAAGCCGACCCAAGCTCCTAAAAAATGACGAACGACCGTCAGTTAAATTTAAAAATGAAACAATAACGACCATAATACTGGTCTGAATATAGTTTAACATGTTTGCATGAAAAGCGTGAATGTCGAAATTGCA